TTGTTGGTGTGCTGGGTTATAGGATCAGCTATGTGGCTGTGGCGATTGGTGGAATTAACTCGAAAAGGTGGAAGTTGAAATTGGGTGACAGGCTGAATGTTTGTTTGGTAGCATATGATCCTATCGTGGAGGGTGTTTATGCGGTTAAAGAATAATGTTTTGAAAAGACAAAAATCTTCATTTTCATACAAGGAAAAAATGAAGATGGACAAATGTTTTATTACTCTTATTAATTAATGATGGAACAAAGACATTACCACTCATTCAAAGGAGAATCCAAAGAATGGACAACTATATATCCCATCAGAAATGCTGAAATGAAATTGCTTGATAGATACAGAAGTGATCAGTATCCACAGGGCAGTTATGATTGCATGCCACCAGACACCATGGACATTTCTGTGGGCAAGAATCATTTACGGTACTTTCAATGTTTAGCTCAAAGACAACAAAAGATGGCGATAACCCACATACTGTAGGCCGTTTGTTTTGGTTTCTACTTTAAAATCTTGCACTTTCCTTGACAATGCCTCAGCATAACATGCAAGGTTTATGGAAACATTTGGCTTGCTGTCAGACTCAGAATAAGTGCTAACGCCTTAGCCTGGCCACCAAATCCTTATGATGTGCATCCTTCCTATCTCCCTGACCTTATTTCTAGCACCTTCCCTCTTCTTACTCTGCCCCAACCCACCACTCACTTCTTTTCTTTTTCTTGAATTTGTCAGAAAACTCCCAAAGTAAAGCATTTGTGTTCCCACTGTCATTGAGATATGATTGATGTATAAGCTTGTGTAAATATAAGGTATACAACATGATGATTTGACACATGTATTGCTAACTAATTACCACAATAGAAATAGTTAGCATCTCCATCACTTCACATAATGATCGTGTGTGTGTGTGTGTGTGTGTGTGTGTGTGTGTGTGTGTGTGCTGAGAACAGTTAAGATCTGTTCACTTAGCAGCTTTCAAATATATACTACAGCCTTGCTAACTATAGTCACCATGCTGTCCGTTATATCCCCAGAACTCAGTCATCTTATAAGTGGAAGTTTGACCAGCATCTATTCATTTTCCCTACCCCAAGCCCCTGGCAACCACCATTTCACTCTGTTTCTATGAGTTTGGCTTTTTAAGATTCCTATAAGTGCTATCCTACAGTATTTGTCTTTCTCTGTCTGATTTATTTCACTTAGCATAATGCCCTCAAAGTCCATCCCTACTGTTGCAAGTGGCAGGATTTCCCCTTTAGACCCCTCATGGCTAAATAATATTTCATTATTTACACATATACATATACATATCCCCACAGCTTTATCCATTTATCTGTTGGCGGGCTTAGATTGTTTCCATATCTTGGCTACTGTGAATAATGCTGCAAAGAAGAGAGGAGTGCAGCTATCTCTTCGGAATCCTGATTTGGTTACATTTCCTTTGGATATATACCCACATATACACTGGTTTTCATAGTGGCTGTAGAATGTGACATTCCCACCGGCAGTGCCCAAGCGTTCCCGTTTCTCCACATCCTCGTCAACACTTGTTATCCCTTGTCTTTTTGATAATAGCCACTTCAACAGATTTGAGGTGACATCTCATTGTGGTTTTAGTTTGCATTTCCCCAATGAGCAGAGATGTTGAGCATCTTTTCATGTACTTGTTGGCTGCTTGTGTGCATTCTTTGAAAAATGTCTCTCCAGGTGCTCTGCCCATTTTAAAACTGCATTGTTTGCCTTTTTTTTGCTACTCAGTTGGATAAGCTCCTTATGTATTTAAGATATTAACCCCTTATCCCTTTACAGCTTGCACATGTTTTTTCCCACTCCACAGTTGCTTTTTTCATTTTGTTGATTGTTGCTTGTGCTGTGCAGAAGCTTTCAGTTTGGTGTTGTCCCACTTGCTTATTTTTGCTTTTGTTGCTTGTGCTTTTGATGTCATATTAAAAAATTGTTGCCAATACCAATGTCAAGGAGCTTATTTTTCCTATGTTTTCTTCTAGGAGTTTTATGCTTCAGGTCTATGTTTAAGTCTTTAATTCATTTTGAGTATATTTTTGTGAGTGGTGTAAGATATGGGTCCAATTTCATTTTTCTACATGTAATTATACAGTTTTCCCAACACCATCATTTATTAGAGAGGTACCCTTGCCCCATTGAATGTTCTTGGTTCCCTTGTCAAATATTAGTTGATTGTATATGTGTGAGTTTATTTCTGAGCCCTTGATTCAATCCTATTGGCCTATGTGTCAGTTTTTATGCCACCACCGTGCTGTATTGATTACTATAGTTTTGTAATATAGTTTGAAATCAGAACTTGTGATGCCCCCAGCCTTGTTCTTTTTTCTTAGGATTGCTTTTGGTATTTGGGGTCTTTTGTAGTTCCATAGGAATTTTAGGATTTCTTTTTCTATTTCTGTGGAAATGCTTTGGGAATATTGATAAGAATTTTAATAAGTCTACAGATGGCTTTGAGTAGTATGGACATTGAAACAATATTAATTTTTTAAATCCATGAACACAGGATATTTTTCCATTTGTGACTTCTTCAATTTTTTAATTAAACTCTTATAGTTATCAGTGTATAGCTCTTTTACCTCGTTGGTTAAATTTATTCTTAAACATTTTATTTTTTAGGCTATTGGAAATAGAATTGTTTTATTTATTTTTTTAGACATTTCATTGTTTGTATAGAAACACATCTGATTTCTATATTTTGATTTTGTATCTTGCAACTTTACTAAATTTTTCAGTTAGCTTTATCAGTTTTTGCTGGAAAGTTTAAAATATTCTGTATATAAGATGTTATCTGCAAACAGACAATTTTATTTATTTATTTATTTATAGATTGGATGCCTTTTTTTCCCCTTCTTTTTCTTGCCTAATTGTGTCAGGCATTATACTGGGCCCAGGGACACAGTAGTGAACAAATACATCTTTTTCAGAATTATAGCTTTTGAGTATTAGGATACATTGTTTTGGACAATAATAGTTACCAAAAGGTTTCTAAAAGGTTATCAAAGGTTACAGTTTGTTGAAAACTCAAAGGGGATATGGGACAAGGGATAGCAATTTCATATTTGGGAACAATATTTCCAGGCCAACCCTGAACAAAGGATTTGAAAAGAGAGCATAAAAGAAGAGAATTTGAAAGCAGAAATTAATTGCATTAAAACAAGGCTTGGCTCTAAAAGCTGAAATTAAATATAATATTTTTAAAAAGATGTTTTGGGAATGGTAAATTTTTAGATTTAAAATATCTGAATTATATAATTTTCCCTGTTTGTAGACTCTTGACTTCATTATATATTAAATTTGATGGGATGCAAATGCACATTTTAACTTACATGAAGTTGATTTTATAGACACAAGTTTTATTAGATTTTTCTGAGAATGATGACAGTTGAATTTCTGCTTTTGATTTTTAACACCTGTTTAGATAGACATAAATAAAGAACTTGTCAAAAGGAACATATTAACCCAATTAATTTCTAGTTCTGTAGCACATTTTCCCCCCAAGAGAAAATGCATATATCCATCAACACAGATCCACTCTCACAAATTAGCTTTGATCCTTTGTTCCCAGCTAAGAAAATGTAATCAGGTATGAACCATGCTTGTTCTTCCAATAGAGTATAATTTTAATGTCTTACAATTTGAAGACTTAAAAAAGGAATCACACCAAAGAAAATTATTCCTTTCAGAATCCAGGAATAGAACTGCCACAAAGGTCAAAGTTATCTAGGAAAAAGAGGGCTAATTCATGTGTGTAAATGAAAGCGGACTCTGGGTTAACATTTAGGCTTAGTGAAACATTGACTTTTGGCTTCTAGGTTTTTATAGATGATTAAATAAACCAGCCCAGAGAATGATTTATTTTATTCAAACTATGCTTGGGAAGCAACACAGCAGCAAAGCCAAGCTCAACTTTTAACTGTCGGTCAAGCCTATAGCTTTTGGTTTGGCTGTCTTGAAATGCTGAAAAAAATTTGCATAAAGACTGTGGCGATTGTAGCTACTTTGTAGTTAGCAGCAAGAACTTGGCCCATGTCAAGTAGGGAGTGACGGCATGTGCCTCTTTTTTAAGATGCTTACTGGGTATTGGTTATCGACTGCTACCTAAAAATTTCTCCAAAGCTGTAGCTGAAAACAGCCACAAACGTGTTTTATCTCACATGGTCTCTTGACTCAGGAATTCAGGAGCGGCTGGACTGGGGGATCTAGCTCAGGGTCTCTGTTGAGGTTGCAGTCAAGATATCAGCTGGGGCTGTGTCATCGGAAGGCTCGACTGGGGCTGGGGATCCACTTCTTAGAAGGCTCCTTGTTGGCAGGAGGCCCCAGTTCCTCAACAAGAGGAGCTCTCTACAGGCTACTTACCTTTTCTTGTGATATTACAGCTGGCTTCCCCCAGAGCAAGTGATCCAAGAAAGTAAAATGGTAGTCATGACATTTCTCATGGCTTAGCTTGGGACGTCACTGGTTTTTTTTTTGTGTGTGTGTGCATACAATGTTTTTTTTTGTTTGTTTTGTTTTTTTTATTCAACTATAAGAAAACAGAAGAATTAACACAACATTTAGCAACTCCAGACTGGCTTTTGTTACACCAATGAGGAGTGATAAATTTAACAGGCACAGACTAACACATTTCAGAGAACCTCTCACCCAGCCCTGCAGCTCAGCAGCAAAGGGACTCCCCAGACTGGGTTGTTATTCTTATATCAAAAATCTGATGACTACATCATAGTACCGAAATAGGCCCCAAAATGGAGTTTAAATTTGATCAACACAAATCCAGGGTGTGTGACCCTGTACAATGATAAAGGACAGGCAGAAGGAAAAGTCACCCTACACCTCTGTCTGCTCAGGTCTGGCCTGTGAGAGTGGGAACAGGGAAGAGGGGAAATCAACATGCATCACTGACCTTGAGAACACTCCTTGGGCCCCCCGGGGCCATGTCTGTCTCCTGGTTTTCCCCTACTTCCCAGCCAGCTGCTCATAGAGTCATTCTGTTCCGCCTGGTAACATGTGCCGGCCACTGGGGACCCAAGGTCGTACTTCTTTGCGGAAAGATACCATCTTGAGTTTGCCACGGTGGTCTCCAGATGGGCTGCTGAGAATGGGCTTGTCCCATTTGGTGGCTTGGCCTGCCCGAACCAGCCAGCCGTAGCGGTGAAGGCCCTTAGGAGGCCCTGAGCCCACACAGTCAGAGAGGATGGTGCCACTGCTGATATCGTTGCCCTTCATGTTGACCACCAGGAAATGGTGCCATTCCCTACATTTGGGGTCCTTTCTGCTTGGAGCATCTGGGTCTGTCAAGACCAGGGTGTAGTGTTTACTTGGATCCAGGCCATCCTGTGAAATACCATTGGGCCAGTTCTTAACCTGGGTGGGCGTCAGCACTTTGCCCAGCTCATCGACCTCCGCCCCAGAGTATTTGAGCTGCAGCGGGTGCTTTGGCCTCTTGTCCACTTCCTGCAGGCTCAAGGGCCAGGGCCACTGGCTGAGGTCCACCAGCATCGTGGGGCTGAGCAGGAGGATAACCGAGAGATGCGGGGGAACCAGGGGCAGGTCAACAGCCCTGACTGAAGTCCGTCACTGTCTTTTCTGAAGTATCCTATGCAGCCCTATTTAAGGTCAAAGGGTGTGACACACTAGAAAGCGGGGACCACTGAGGACCGTATTGGAGGCTAGCCACCACAAGTTTCCTGGTAAGGGGATGATAAGGCAGATCACAATTTTGAGGAATTTTATATTGGTTATAAAGAAACAAAGAAATGAATGCAACCCAGAAGAAATATAGCATTGAGGTATTTAAGAGTAAACTGGTTATTACCACCAGATAAGTTTTTAATTGACCTTGAGATGCACCAACCTTAGACCTCATAGAAACAGTTACCAGTTCTAAATAATTAATGTGCTGGCTCAGAAAAAACGAATATCTCATTCTGGCAGGAGAGTAAAAGAGAAAACAGTCCCTCAGTCTTCTCTGGAATGCATTGGCAAATGTGTACTTTTCCCCGTTCTCAAACGGTAAGCATCTAAGAAACGATTCCATTTTCTAGAAAGATGGTAGATTACTGTTGGAGACCAGTTCCCTACACTGCTGTACGTGACTGGACTGTCACAAAATGTTCCTACATTTAACGTTTGAAAATATATTTGCTGAAGCATTTACTATGCAGTTTGTTGAATTGTCTGCAGATAATTTGTGCAATCTGTACATGGAACCAAGAGGCGTGGATATGCCCAAAAGGTGCAATTATTTACGGACCATTAATCTTTCCATTTACCTTAGATTAATTAAACCTAGAGTCGTAAGGGTGTTTCAAATTACATGATCTTGGACAAATCATTTAAACCTCTCCGGGTCTGTTTTCCCATAGGTGATATTCATTCACTCATAGGCAGTTCACAATTATTTATCTGTGTCTATGTGCCTCCTACTCTTCTGGAAGGTAGGGGCACAGAGAGGATCACGAGAGACATGGCCCGTATGTTCTAGTGGGAGACACATGAGATAGACAGACATGCCCCCAAGCAGATGTGAGAGTGCTCTGAGACGACAGATCGGCAGGGTCACAGGAGTTCAGTGGAGATCAGAAGTTAGGGAGGGCCGCCCTGGTCTGCAGGAAGAGATCTGCAGGAAGGTAGGGGTTGGGCCAGGCACAGAACGGCAGGAAGAGTGTTTAGGCAAAGGCATCGTAGGTGCTAGCTCCTGAGGCAGGAGTGTCCTCGATGTGTTTGGGGACAAAGTGTGCCTTGAATTGAGTGAGCAATGGGAGGGAGATGGAAAGGGAACTGGGGTGAGCTCATGAGGGCCTGTTGTGTCTCACCATAAGGCTTTTGTGTTTGATTAAGAGTGACGCGAGAAGCCACTGGAGGATTTTGAGCAGAGAAGTGACTTAATCTGACATAGGACTTAAAAGGATCCCTGAGGATGCTTAGTGAAAAATGGGTAGTAGGGACTCAAGCAGGGGTGGATTCAGCCCACCAGTACATGCAACAATACTCTTGTGTTCATTGGCCCAGGAGAAAGATGATGGTGGGTGGTTGATGGGGAGGAAGGTTTCCAAGTGGAAACCTTTGAAGATATGCCTGCTTGTCTTCCAGACCCGCCCAGACCATTGAAGATGGTCAGGTGTGTAAGCCCACCCCTTGCGATGTGCTGCCAAGGAGAGCCATCTTCTGTCCTATTTACTTGACTGCTGCCTCAACCCACATCATGCTCATTTAGTCTTTACAGAACAAGTTTATGAACTATTGATATGTATTCAAGTGAACTTTAACCTGAGTGTGCACCCCTGGTTGACAAGCAAACACTATCAGTTCCACCCCTTCCTTATTTGTCCCAGGGATCTTCTAGCTGCCCTATAGGTGAAAGAATCCAGACAGCTGCAACAGGCCCTCTTGCTCTTTGAGCAAAAGAATTACTATATGAGGAAAGTGTGTGTCTTACAGGTGATTTAATGGACAATTTAGGGCTATTTTCTGTGCTTTAGATCAGTACTTTCAAAATGAATATAATGCAAGACCTCTTCAATTTTATTACACATATTAAGAAAGTAAAAAGAGTCCAATCGTCTTCCATCACCATATATTTGACCCCTTTTTTTCCTTTACCACCCCTCCAACCCCTTTCCCTCTGGTAACCACAACGCTGTTGTCTGTGTCCATGAGTTTTTGTTTACTTGGTTTTCTTGTTTGTTCATTTGTTGCTTTCAGTTTTATATCCCACATGTGAGTGAAATCATATGGTTCTTATTATTTTCATCTTATTAACCAATGCACCCTAATATATTTAATTAAAAATAAAGTCTTTTTTTTTTTTTTACTAAAAAACAAAAATAAAATAGTAAAAAGAAGTAAGTGGTGTTAATGACCTATTTTATTTAACCCAATATATTCAGAGTATAATTTCAACATGTAACACTATAAATATTATTAATGTGGTAGTGTACATTCCTTTTATGCATATGAAGCATGTAGGGTTTAGCTTGTATGTATTTTACAGTTACAGCGCTTGCTTCTCAGGTTAGACTAGGCACATGGTGGACCCCAGGTTAGACTAGGCACACAGTGGATAGTGCATTGGAAGACTTTAGCTGTAACCTCAGTTTATGAGAAAGGAAGGTTTTAGGCAAAGGTTCTCCACAATCATGTGAAGCTCATCTGGGAAAAATTTTTTAATCCTCGCCTGAGGATATTTCTTTATTGTTTATTAAGGAGAGAGAAAGAGGGAGGGAGGGAGAGAGAGAGAGAGAGAGAGAGAGAGAGAGAGAGAGAGAGAGAGAGAGAAACATCAGTTATCTCCTGTACTCACCCCAACTGGGAATCAAACCCAAAACCTGGCCATGTGCCCTGATCAGGAATCAAACCCATGACCCTTTGGTGTATGGGACGATGTTCCAACCAACTGAACCACACTGGTCAGGTCTCTGGGAAATGTTTTATACCAAAGCGTGGGCCTCGCTCCTCATCTTTGGTGCTAGTGGGGGCCAGACAGCAATGCTTTAATTTCTCCAGGGGTTTGATGTAGGCAGACAGTGTTGAGAAACCTTCCAAAAGAATGAGGTCACTTAAAGGAAAAGGCCCAAGTAGGGGCTCCACAAGCAGTCTGTATGCATGGCTCACTTTCAGAGAATCTTTGTCAAGAACCTCAACTTTCATTTGTTCTTCCTGCAGCTGAGCACGTGCCTTGATTAGAGATCATGCTTCTGTTTTATAAATTGCCCTCTTCCCAGTTACCCGAGAAAGGCCTGCCTCATCCAGCATCGTACTCTTGTGTATTTCTCTGAAGAATAACATTTCCAGATTTTTTTAAAAAAGCAAACAAAAAGGAACAAAGAAGAAATTGAAGAGAAGCAGCCTGTAATTGAGTCAGGGCAAGCCATCCTCGCCCTGCCCTCAGCCATCCATCTCATTAAGGAGAAGCCTGGTAATGAATTTCCTGCTAACCTTTGCCAGACATGTATGTTGTTTTGCTCAGTCGTGTGCTAATAGTAAGTGTAATTACAAATCAACCGAGTGCAACATCTTTATGCTGAGGGCTTATGGTCATAGGAAATCTAAACAAAAGTTTAAGATTTTAGTTTCCCTACATATTTTTGTTGCAAAGAAGGAGGTTGATCAATAGTGCATTTTAAAGCAGCGGTTGCCAGCCTCATGGACCACCAGTGGTCTGAGGACCACCTGCTGGTGACCGCTGTTTTAAAGCACAAAAAATACCTTCTTTTAAAGTAAGATTCTGTGATGGATGTGGAATAGCTGAACAATTTCAGGAAAAGAGGCAAACTGTGTGAAATATCTGACTGCTGACAGAACATTCTTGTTCTTGAGTGGTCTTTGAAATGGGTGATGGTGGATGTCAAATTGGGATGATAGTTATATTCCTTCCAATGAATATAAAAGATTGATGTAACTTACTTAAAAAGTCAATACAGTACTTTCAATAATTCAGAAATGACGTTCTTTTTAACTTATGATGAAAAGATGTACTTGTCAACTTAATGTGTCAAGGTATATAAAGATTAAAAAAATTTTTTTTAGAGGATTAGGGAACAAAAAGCAATTGCAAACCAAGATTTGATATACCTGCCAACCAGCATTTGAGTCAAGTTATTTCATTTCCTACTTAAATGCCCTTTGCCAGCTTGTTTATCTTCTTTAAACCTCAGTTTCTTTATCTGTAGAAAGGGAATAACAATCCCCACCTTCATTAAGCTGAGGTGGGGATGAAATGTGACATAGTAAATTGACATATAATTAAGTACTGAAAGTTGGTATCCCTCATTATCAATTGGCAGAATAAGTGGAAGAAGTGATGCTGATTATAGCAGTAAAACCCATAAGAAACTCAAGCAAGCTTCCCAGGAGAAGTCCCTGCCCTCTCCAGCCTCAGGTGTATAGGAAGTGTCTGAAAGAACAAGAACAAGTTGGATTGACGAGGATGAGAGATAACTTGTCATAACTATTAATTCAACTGAAGAGCAGTCCCCCATTGACTGTCCCTGTCTCTTCTCCACACTCATAATCTCCTATGTGGTTTGCAAATCTGGATAATTCTGATCACACACACACACAGACACACACTCTGCAACGGTCAGATCAGAGTTTCTTTTTTTAAATTATAGTTATTGAGATAACATTGGCTATTAGCAGAATACAAATTTCAGGTGTACAACTTTATCATATGAACTCTGAATACTCTGTTGTGTGCTCACCACCCAAAGTCTAGTCGTCTTCTGTCCCCATAGATTTGACCCCTTTCACCCTCTACGTCCTCTCCCCACCTCCCTTCCCCTCTGGTAACCACCATTCTGTCATCTGTATCTATGAGTTTGTGTCTTTTGCTTGTTGCTTTCTGTTTTATATCCCGCGTGTGAGTGAAATTATATGGTTCTTGTTCTTTTCCATCTGACTTACTGCACTTAGCATGATACCCTTGAGATCCACCCATGCTGTCGAAAATGGCAGTACTTCCCTCTTTCATGGCTGAGTACTATTCCACTGCCTCTATG